TTGCGAGCTAGAATGTGTAGTTTTTGATAAGCGCATTGTTCAATAAAAGTACTTCAGAAACTGAATTATATTTATGACTGGAATAGTTAACATCGAGATTTTGTCTTCGTAAAACAATTATTGAAATTAAAGTAAACATGTAAATATGTTTTTGCTCTGTTAAAATTGTGTTGGATAGAATTTCCGTCTCATATTCTCATCTGACATAAACTGCGTTATTGATATAAAAATTCCATGATTACATGTAATTAAATTGATGGGTGATAACATTAGGTTAATAAAAGTCAATTTTACCACTATGTGTGCGTATGTGTAAAATGCTACTAAAAATAAATAATTTCTTAAAAATAAATATTATAAAATTTAATTAATTTATTTATGAAATATGAAAATTGATTGATCATTAATACAAAAATTAATATGTAACTTTGTTGTTATTTTAGAATTTCTTAGATTTACTCATCCCCAATTTTGTTCGAAAATAAATAAAATTTCTACATCGCATTTGTAAGAAATTAGATAAATCCAATTACACCAGAGGTGTAAATATTTTTTATTCATTTTTTTTTCAAGAATATAATTAATGAGATGCCAGTATATTAAAGTAACAAATCAGGATATTTATTTTATTCAATTATTTTCATGCTCAACACATACAAATACTTCTAAACATCAGTTTATATGCCAAAAACTATTTGATTCCAAAATTTTTAATTTAATTATGCTAAACTTATAATATTTCATGTTGCAATATTCTATACATAATTTAGAAATAATTGTGCGTTTTTTACGAGCACAATTATAATTTTAAAATACAGTTAAAATATTTTTCTCAATTATTGGGTAATTTCTGTATAAATTTATTTTAGCAAATGATTCCTTATGTTGTTATTATTTTGCCGAAATATTATGTTGAAATTAATTGCGCAAACAGTTATTAATATTTTTTAAAAAATCAAAATTTCTGCAATTTTTGTAAATATATCTGTATAATTGCAGATTACAAATATTATACAAGATTTTATCGTATTATTTTATAAATATTGAGTATATTTATCGAGTATACCGCATAGTTGTTATAATATTTAGAATTTGCGATAGTTTTATTGTTTTGTTTATTTAAGTTCTTTGAAAAAAGTAGAACTTGTCTATTCTCTTTCTTTCTTTCTCTGTTTCTCTCATTTTTCTTTTTATTCTAATTTCTTTGTCTTTTATAATCTTACCACAACTTCTTCCGTTTTCCGCAAATTCGATTCGTGCCGCTACGCCTGATCGATTCAACAGATTGAACTGCATTGCTATTCTTTATCCAATACTCACTATATATAATCCATGTTTTTCGATTTATGCAAATTTTATTACTATTACATATAAGAAATTACGCTTGCTAAGATATAAATTTAAATATGTAATTATTAAATTGACTTGAATGTATCTAGAAATTTAAAAGTTTTCTTTTATTTATTGGGTCATCTAAAAAGTATCCGCGGTTTTTTGTCACTAGATGTGTGTTGATGGTCATATATCTAGTGACAAAGTACCGCGGATACTTTTTAGATGACCCAATATTAACATTTTTTTGTTATAAACGGATCATTCAATTGAACTAGAACAAAAATAATTTTTTAATAATTAGATTTAATGATTTAATTAATTTATTAATTATAATATAGTGACTTTACGAAATAATATAATATTTGGTACTAGCATGAAAATTGAAATTATTTTATAATTTAGTGTAGTTGTACATTACTGTTATAAATTATATAAGTCTATCGCATACCTATATGTTAGATTATTCAGTGAGTTTTGAATTATAAAAGTCATCGATATCTATGAATCTGTAAAAAAAAAAAACAAAATCAAAACGAGAAAATAAATAACATATAAAACATGAATTGTAAAAAGGTGATTGGAATTTCTGATATTTCTGAATTATTAATTATTGTAATGTTTATATGTATAGTATATATTGAATAAAATTCTTTTAGTACAATTACATATCGAAATTCATATTTCTGTTATATTTTGAATATTGGTATGCAATATTTAAAATAATAAAAGAAATAAAAAACAAAAAGAAAATTTTTTAATGAACGTAAAAGGTTACGTTCATTAACAAATTTTTTTTTGTTTTTTATTTCTTTTATTATTTTAAAAGTTTACGTTCATTAGCTTGAATTAATAATACCACGGTTTAACATTTCTATATTTAATAACTTCAGCTAAAATTCATTTTCCTAACAGCTTAAACAATCGTACATAATTTATTTGGTTCTCGCAGCTTTGCATTATATTACCGAATGTTGGTGCGATTATGTTTGAAGTTTTACTGCTTCTCTATTAGGAATTGAGTGTGAAATATTAAATTGATAATTACTTGCATATTATCTTTGTTGTAACAGCGTCTGACATGTCCCATGAGTATCTTTTTTCTGCCTTGTTGGGCAAAGTGGTTTTATGGGACCATCAATGATATATGGGATAGATAAATAATATTTTATTTTATGCTGGTACCCATAGTCATAGTCATAATACATATTTCTAATGATGTCATTATGGCCATCATTAACGTGATTGTCAATAAAACATCAAGGAATATTTTCATTCTTTTATTGCGAAAAATCTGAATATTTTACGTAATCTACAAAATATCAAATTAAACATCATATATTGTTTATCTATTCTTTTATTTCTATGAAATAGTCGAATATATTATATATAAATTTTCTATTTCTTTTAATTTTCTAAACATTTTATTAACATATTTTCAAATATTTAAATATTTTTTTGATATTTTTAAATTTTATTTTTAATTTTTTTATTTAGTAAAATATAAAATATAAAATAATTTGAAGGAACTTTAAGGAATTCTTATTTTGCCTCTCTCTTTGTTTCTTCGTGAAAGATATCTTCTCTTTTTTCAATATTCTTAACTCGATTTACTGGATCTTTAGTACGCACTTTATCCTTTCAACAAAACGTGCAGTACTATTTCTTTCCTATACATCTACTTCCTCTACTTATAGTTATCGTATCTTTCCTGATTGTGCAAGCTTCATGATCATCTTTTAAAAGAACCGATTATGAAGCAGTATATTCTCCTTTATTCAAACGAGAAGTTACAACGACAGAATTTCACATCACAAAGGAAGGTCAAACGTATAATTATACGTATATATTTTAAAAGAAATTGCGTTATTTTATATATTTCAGAAGATAATTTTTTGAAATACAAAGATTATTACATTTAATGTGTCGGTAATAACATTATTTAGCAAAAAAAATGCGTAAAAATAAAGATATTATTTCTCAAAATAAATTGTTTCCCATAGTTTCTTGAATGTTGAATATGATCCCGTTAAATTATTGTTATCACAATTTAAAAAAATTTATATTTAAAATTGCAAAAAGGCAATTTTAAAAATTATTTCAGAGCATATTGTAACTATGATATATAATATGGTGAAAAAATTTTATTATGATCAAAATTAAGTATACTGTCAAGATTTCTAGCTCTTCAAAGCTGAATTTTTGTTATATCGGTCGATTATAAAGTTAAAAAGATATTTGTTTAATGTAAAATATAAAATATATCACGTTATTAAAATTGTAATTTACATATACTTTTAGCATATGTAAATTATCTTCTAAAATATATAATAAAGCAATACTAAAAGCTGAATTCTTGTTGTATCGATTACAGTTCAAAAGATTTTTTGATTAATGCAAAATCTGTTGCTTTGAAATGTTGTAATTTACATATGCTATTTAGAGTATTAAATATTTTTTAATTATATGTATTATTTAAATTTAAAGGTTTTTATACCGCTGAATATTAATCTATGAATGTCAAAATTGACACAATAAGTTTAAAATGGCAGAAATATCATAAACGTCAAAATGAAATTCAGTAACAGTTCTTTTAATAATAACTTTTTAATGTAATTTTATAATTGAATTTATTAATAATTTAATAAATTTAATTTATTTATTTATAACTTTTTTGTGTGTGATATTAAAATTATATTGAATGATTTGATAAATTTTAAATATCAAAATATTTGATAGAATTTTAATGAAAACTTACGAAAAAATCGTTACTTCGATGCAAAAAATTTTATATTAATTTTATATTAATTAAAAATTTTATATTAATTATATAAAATATCTTCTAATTATAATCGACATAAATTTTATTTAACCTTAGCTACTAAAGTACGGCGATTTTTTTTATATTGCTATAACTTTTTTATAGTAAATTCGAACAACTGCTAGCTGGATTGAAGTTAAAAAAACTTTAATTATCTATAAATACGAAATCTAGAAGATAGCAGCCTAGAAGCCTAGAAGAGCAGTTATTATTCAATGTGAGAGTGTACGAAATTTCAAGAGAAGTACCTGATATCTTCATGCAGATAACTCGTTTAAAAAGATTTCTGGGTATTCTTTCGTGTTTTATTAAATACATTTACTAGGTTTCAGATAATATAAAAGTAAATGTATGAAATTATAGGATTGAAAAAATTATTTTATATACAGGTCCCCCCGGTGTGCCAGATCACCTACACACTCTTTTTATCTCTTCATAGAATAAGGTACAATCAAAAATATATTCAAGCAATAGTTTTAGGATTTAAAAAGATTTATCTACTAGTAAAACGATCTATTTACTAATCTTATCACGCACAGTTTGATCTTAAGTGCCAAGATTAGATCAAGCTTACATTGATTTTTTTAAATGGAAACCCTTATTTTTTTTTATTACATATTTTTATAATTTACCTCGAGAACTTTTCAAAACAATGTAACAAAATATTTTTTCATTAAATATTTTTTGAGTTATAAAACTTAAAAATTACAATACCGCCGGCATTAGCATTACTATAGCTAAGGTGTTCGATTGATGATTAAACCTTTTTAAATGTTGTTCAGGAATGTTACGATCATGATCAAGGCAATTAAAATTAACTGTACAATTTGAAATTATTACAATATAATCCTGATGAATACAAAACGTATAGTGTGTATTTTCACTTTTCTGTTTGTTGAGACGATATTTTTAGGTCTCGCTTTTAGTTGATATTGCTGAAATGTTGATATCTACAAGCCTGCAAATATAAAATACATATATACCTTGGGAAGCCAGGACATATAATTTTCAGAGATACTGCACAATTATACTTTAGTAAATAAATTTATACAATAATATTACAAGCTCTATATAGTTTGTTAAAATAGATAAAATATATAATACAATGATTTATTTTATATCTTTGTAAATTATAATTTAATATAGTTTTATTAAAAAATTATATGCATATGTATTTTGTTTTGATCATTGTTAATGTATTTAAAGCTATATTCAAAATTACAATATTATTATTAATATTATTAGCATTAATGAACAGTTAATTAAATATTTGTTTTCTGATAAATAATAAAAAGATATAAAAATCAAATAAAAATATATATAGAATTATTATATTATAGGTCCTCTTCATGAGGAAGAAGGTTGTATAAATGAAAAATTTGAAATTGTTGAGGCTGATTGATAGAATAAAATAAGTGAATTTGGCAGATCTGGGGATTCAGTACATTTGATACATGATACATGAATTTCAAATGCTGTCATATTGTATATGGTTTTGAATAATTCGCATGTCTGCCAGTTCCGCACGATATTATTATAGGTAATTTAAGATTTATTCAATGTATTACTATATAACATTATAAAGAGAATTAGAGAGCAATGAAGAAAGCTACCTCGAATATTCAACGGTATAATTATGTATTGGCAAATCGGTAACAGTTTTGTATTTTATATTTTTATAATCACTGTCTAAATTAAAGATCGAAACGTATGTTTAGACTTAATGTAATTTTATTTTTAAAAATTACGTTCAATTTTGCATAAGCTATCAGTCCTTTTGACTCAAATAGCCTTTTATTTTATTTGAATTTTTAATTCTATTGAGCCGTTATTTTTATTTATATTTTTAATTGTTATATGTAAAATATTATATCACTGTAGATTATATTAATATAGAAATATTATATTAAAAATATCCATATATCGAAATCCAAAGTTTTCATATAAATTTATGTAAATCTACACGTTGCCAAATCTGAAACATAATTGAACGTGATTTACATTAATTTGGAATCTATGTTTTGCTTTTAAAGATAATTTGTTCTAACAAACCTAAATACGCTCTACCAAAGAAACTACCTGTGTTTTTTGATCGTTACATGGGTGAACGACATACTCCACTGGAATCCTGTCTCTGGCCCTCCGGACATGGACTTGCGGTTGTTATTTTAGGTGCATCTATAATGCTTGTAGATTGTACCTTACATTCAGTACAGGGTGTCTCTATCTTGGGTTGTGTATATACATCCTTATTCTTTTGACCGACTGTCAGTGGCACCAAGATTAACATCATTGTCACAAGTATCAGGAAAGCACCACCAAAGAACTTCATTTCTAAACGACGCAATAACTTTTTTGTTTAAAAATGCAATTTGAAATGCGAGTAAGGATCGAAGTTCTCGCATCACTAATATTGTTAACTAATCTTTACCGTTTTCTCGATTCGCTTTTCTTGACTTTTCTTGACTTTCTTTCTCGTAACTTATCGCAAAATTTTCCAACTTTACTTGCACTTAATATTTCTTTTACTCTGTTTATCTTAGCGAGTATTTTGCCACTGTGCTACTGCATGTTTCCTATTTATACTCAGATATTTCCAATGCACTTTGCTTTATTACGATAAAAAATTACAATTATGCAGATTAAAATGCTAATTATCGCAATTAAAGTATATTAATATCGATGTTGTCAATAAACAGCTATTGCGTCTGTTACTTTTCCGTGAAAATGTCCGTGAAATATTAATATGTAAACGGAGTGTTCACACAACTCTAACAAATTGATACTAAATATGTATGTTGGGATAATATACAAACTACTCAGCTTCACACATATATCGTTTCTTATGACTTCCATCCAGTCTATAACTCTGTTGTAGACTCTGTATAGCTACAGAGTAACATCGATCTTGACATAGTTGCAAAGATACTTTAAATATTTATTTAATAGTAACTTTTGTTGATCAATAAAAAATAGGTTACTGTACATATCGGCGAACAATTTAATGTATGAATAGAAAACTGAAAAGACAGATAACTATATCGGAGGCTCGTATTTTCGTATTTTGCCGCATGTTCGGCATTAAAATTGGCTGCTGGCGTTTATTTTATGCTGTCAATACCATCGTTTTTTAGATCAATAAATGTCAAAAATCTGATAATACAGCTGATCTAAAGAATAGATTTGAAACAAAACTGATTTGCATACACAATCATTAATAACGCTACACTTAATAATGTGCATTGTAACTTTTTTCTATATGGGATAAGAATTATAGGCTCGTATTTTCGCGTATTTTGCTGCACGTTTGGCATTAAAATTGACTGCTGGCATTTATTTCGTGCTGTCAATACCATGGTTGTATTTAGATCAATAAACGTTGGAATCTGATAATATAGCTGACCTAAAGAACATGTTGGAGACAAAATTGGTATATATATATATATATATATATACATACATACACACACAGCTATTAATAATATTTTATTTAATATTCGTTGTTAGCTTTTTTTCTCGGATAGGAATTATTACTAAATACTATTATTAGAGAAAAATCAGTTTAAATTCGACAATTCATTTGTCATTTAAATTTCAATACATATAGTGATGTGTAATTTGCATAAACATACAGCTCTGTAAGCTTTTTCTACTTATTGCTAGGTTTTGTTGACATATATGATTTTTATTTGACGTGAAAAAAAAATGAACATAAAAAAACATAGATAAAAATGTATTTTATTATGATAAATCGGGACTCATATTATAATTGCAAGTATTACTGTGTAAACACTAAAACAACTAATAAATAATATACATTGATCGCATCGATGGTGAAGTTTGTTTCTCTGATGCAAAGCGGACAAATAGCTTGGCCAATCTCTCGACATGCGTTGTTATGATATTTCATTGTGACATTTGTAGGATTACACCGCTCGTATCGTTGTATCTGCAAACAAATATAAAAAATAATAGCTCATGAATGAATGGTCCTTGTTTGGCGACATAAAAAAGGAATTATATGCAATGGTTTTAAATTTTTTTATATTTTTCTTTTTAGATACATACACACACACACACACACACACACACACACACACACACATTTTGCTCTATTGGTATATTTAAATAGCTATAGAATAAGCTAGAATAATACAATCGCTAAAATAAACATGTGAAATATATGCAGGAATGTTCTGGAAAAGGAAATGAAAATACATGTTTTTCAGGAGTAATTGTTGGTTCAGAGGCAATACCAAAAGTTTGAAAAACATAAATTTTTGTTGATAAACGCATTTTCAAAAAATAGATTAAAAAAAATACATATTAGAGATATTCACACTTAAAAATTTTATAAGCTATTTTATATGTAGACATTTTATAAGTTAATATAATAAAAAAAATCTTTAAATGTATATAATTCTGTGAAGGAATATCCTAAAACTAGTTCTCTTGACTTAGAAAACATTTGCAATGTTACTGCAAAATTGCAAAAGTGCTGAATCACTTTTTATTTTAAAAATTTTTCAATATTTTTTTGTTTGAATCACGTCGCTGATCGACGGAATACAAAATCAATGTGTCATGAAACACGAATCGGCGCCATTATTACATGCGACCGAGAATCTAGAATTCAATTGTCGTTGATTTTTCGGTAGCAGTCAATTCTTTTTATTTCCGACAACGATGACAACGCGACAGTCATCATCGTCACGGAGGAGATTAACAACATGGCTTAAATTTTCATTTTTTGTGATATTCACACAGAACGTTTGACCCTGATTCCTCTAAACGACGCTTATAACGTACGAAATATCTTCGTTAAAAGGGCGTTTTCTCGCTAATCTCCTGTTATTTACAACGACGTCGTTGTTAATCCGGGAATAGTTATTTAATTTCTTTTTTTTTACGTAAATGATCATCTGGAGAGTACGTGTTTTTACACTTTAATTAAAATTAATATTATTAACAACATATTGTATATTATTGATTGTCTTCTCTTATTTATTAATATCTACGAATATTATAAATTTAATTACAATTTTCTGAAAAAAGTAGATACAAATTAAATATTAAACAGAATATATATATATATATATATATATATATACACACACACACACAAATAAGAACGCATATGAGCGCGAGCTGGCATAACAAAGAGAGCACAGGTCTATCATGCCAGAAATCCTCGGTTCAAATCCCAGGAACCAAAATATTTACGCTCGTATCTCTTCTCGGGGAAAGGTCGGCAATCTTCCGAGAGTATCCTTACCCACAGAAACACCTCTCGAAAAGTTCACCGTTTAAACAGGCATTAAAACTGTAGGTATATGCTCGGCAATTAAATAATTAGTATACGCTCCACAAGCATTTGAGAGAAGTGTAATACAAACCACAGGCAAGGTAAGAAGAAAAAGAAAAAATATAAATGCCATTTTTAGTCAAAGCAGGTCTTGGTACGTATAAAGAAATACAATTAACTGACCATCGTCCCTAATTTTAAATAGCTTTGGATATGTTAAAATATAAACAAAAATAAAAAATATTTTTTTTTTACATGCTAAGTCGAAAGTTAAGGGAGTAAAAGAATTCTTTTGAAAAGATCAGTTTTTTTTTTAAATGAATATCATCGAAACTATGAGAAACACAAAAAAAAATGTTTTAAATAAAAGCTAAATGGTTTCAAGACCATTATTACTTCATAATCAAAATTAAAAAAATAAAAAAAAATTTTTTTATTAAAAAAATTTTTATTTAAATAACTTTTTATAATGATTATTATAAAGTACTCTTGAAACTATTTAACTTTTATTTAAAACATTTTTTTTATCTCTCATAGTTTCGACAATATATTCACAGTATATTCACTATGAAATATTAGGTGTTGGAATTAATTCGTAGCGTTTTACAAGTGATGGGAAGTACTTTCATTAATGTATTTTTTAATGCTCATGTGAAATAAATAACATTCTTTCATTAAAAAACGCTACGAATTAATTCCAACACCTAATAAAAAACCAATTTTTTCCAAGGAGATTTTTATCCTCCAACATATATAAAAATCTTTTATTTTCGTTTATATTTTAATATATCTAAAGCTTATTAAAATGAGAGGAAGTGTTCGTCGTGTTTCCTTGTTAGTAATATTTATATATGACTGTATAAATACAATTTTTAATTGTATAAATTGCCGATTCAATTTGTCGAACTTAAAACACAATCATGAATTGAAATAATTATCTTACAATTAAATAAATTACAATTAAAAATATATAATCTCATAATTAAAAATAACCAAAGAAAAACAGTTAGTCTATAGAACTAAAAATTGCATTTGTATATTTACGTACGAATATTACTAATAATAAGCAAAACCTGCTTTGAAAAATAGCACTCTTCTCTTTTATTCGTAAAAAATAGTTATTAAAAAAGAAAGAAAATATATATTAACCAATATCCATATAAAACAATATTTTACAACATTTTTTAATAAAACACTGTAATTGATTATTTCCGGATTAATAACATTAAGAAATTTTCCCGAATATTCCAATTTTCATTCTTCTGCAATTTCTTTTATTTTTCCCTTATATGTTTCTTCCTAATTAATTTCCTCGGCAGAATTATCGCACTTTACCTTATTTACAAGTTATCTAGTTTCTCTTGAAACTACTTTTTATGATTTGTCAAAAACCGACATTTTCCGTTCGCGTCATGTTTATAACCAGGTGGACACGGAAAAGGCCATTCCGGCATCGTTACGACATTTTATATTATGCGTATATCATCATTCGTCGTCGATGTTTTCGGAGTCGATTCGATATTTGGTTGAATTTTCTTTTGTAGCGGTGACGATACGATAGTCATAACCATTATAGCAATCATTAATAACGTGATACAAAATTTCATTTTCGATTTTCACCACAGATTGCAAACCGTTTCAAAAATTTGAGATTTCGATAATGTCCAAATAATGCATACGACTTGTGAAACATCTTCAAAAAAGCAGAAGTTTACAAAGACATTGTTAACGCTGCGCAATGACTGATTAGTTTTATACCGAGGATTTCATAAATCAACAAAACCATGGTTTATAATAAAATCCATTATAAAAATTACATTATATTTACAGGATGCCTTGTCAAAGGTGAAGCGTATTTTTAATAAGAGATTATCACTACACGCATGCGTAATCTTGCAATATTTTGCAAAAATGATAACTAAATTCTAATTTTCATTCTTCTACAATTTCTTTTATTTTTTCTTATATGTTTCTTTCTAATTAATCTTTATGATTCTCGATAAAATTACCGCACTGTACTTTATTTACAAGTTATCTTACCTATAATTCTTCTTGAAACTATTTCTTAAGCTTTTGCAAAAACAATCGACATGCTCCGTTCGTATCACGTTGTTGGCCAGGTGGACACGGAAAATCCGGTACTGTTATGATATTAACTGAAGACATTGTTTCATTTGTCATCGGTGTTTTCGGAGTCGATCTGAGTTGAGTTTTCTGTAGTAGCGGTGACGACCTGGTAGTCATCACCATCATAGCAATCATTAATAACGTGATATAAAATTTCATTTTCACCACAGAATGCAACTCAGTTTAAAAATTTGATTTCAATAATGCGTACGACTTGTGAAACATCCTCAAAAAGCAGAATCTTATAAAGACGCTGTTATTAATGCTGCGCAATGACTGATTAGTTTTATACTGAGGATTTCACAAATCAACAAAACCATAATTAATGATAAAATTCTTGTAAAAATTACATCACATGATGTCTTGTCAAAGGTGAAGCGTATCTTTGATAAGCGATTATCACTACATGCGTAATATTTCACAGAAATGATAACTAAATTCTAATTTTAATTCTCATGTATATTTACATAAAAGTATTTAAAAACTGTGACTAATAAATTTAAGTATTAACTAATAACTATTTATTTTTTTATAAATAGTTATTAGTTAATACTTAAATTAATAAAATTACATGAAGATTATACAAATTAAATTCTAATAATTTGCATTTTAATATTTTATACTTATGTTTATATTAGCTCCAATTGATTTATCCTGCGTGGTAAAATTAATTATATATTTTAAAATATTTTGTCAACATATGCAATTAAAAAGATAATATGCGTAATAGTATAATATTTAATATAATATTTAATCGATTGGAGAATTGCAACCATATTTATTAATTGATTATAACTATTAAACATTATTACTTATTTTGTTTATTTATTGACCCACTACCTTCAATTTTTTTGAAATATATTACTTAATATAACACTTCTTGGGAAATAGCCAATAATTGTAATCAAAGTTGTTTAACTTAAGGTTATCGAAATAGTCAAATATCGTTTTGCATTTCAAATAGCATATGAAATTCTATAAATATGCATATGCGAGTGGCTTGCAGAAAGTATCTTGTCCACGAGATTGCGCGAATATCGAAATTATCGAATAATAGAGAGAAAGAGAAAGAGAGAGAAGGAAAGGGAAGAGGGAGAGAGAGAGAGAGAGAGAGAGAGAGAGAGAGAGAAGAAAGAGGAAAATAGAAAAAGAAAAAGAATATTATAACAGTTACTTTCTCTCAGTAAATACTTGAAAAGTTAGAAATATTTAACAAGCGATAGAAGTTTTATTTACTCATTATTGTTCAAATATTTCCAAAGCAAAAAATTTGTTTAAAATTTTATGAACTCTATTCACAGATGGTTAACTTTTTATAGAAAAAACAAAACTGTTGTGCAAGAAACGATTGATTTTTATGACGATAGAATTTGGCTTTTCAGTCCAACAAATATTTGACTTTTACCGCGAATAAAGTTTCGCTTTTAGTAACGAACAGAGTATAGCTTAAAACAAGCTCAATATATCTCTAGTTTCTAAATTGGAAAAAAATTTTATCGGTCAGAGAGTCGATTTGATTTTTTCAAATAAAAAACATTTAGCTTTTAGTATAAAATCTAATTTTTTAAACGCGAATACAATCTCAAATAGAAGAAATTTGTTTAGTTTCTATACAAAAATTTAACTTTCTCTTATTTCTAAAGTAAACCGCATTTTCACTGTAAGAGTGGCTTTTAAGAGGTTTTTTAAATTTGACGATTTTACTGTTTTTAAGTTCAATGAAAAGTTACTTATAGATTTAAAAAAAAGTTAAATTTGCGATTGAACTTTTATAACAAGGTAGCTTTTAAGTTAGAAAATGTAACGTTTAATCCTAGAGTATAACAAAAATGAATAGATAACTTTTAACGTTCATAAATTCAATAATAAATACATTGTTTTCGACTCTTTTTTATAAGTTTTTCCTTTATAAATTAACAATAAAATCATACATTATTAGTTTTTTTGCAAAAATAAAATTGTGTTACTATAATTTTAATTTTGTTTACTTATTATTCATTTACATGTTTAAATCTATTGATTTATTAATTTTGAACACTACAATAATTACAAAATTAATAAAAATTTTAAGATAGACTACGAAAATATTTTTAATAAATACATTAATAATATTTTAGTAGTTATTGTGAATATTAATTAATATTATAATTTTGTGTGATTTTTAAATGGCCACTTTAAGCTTGATACTGTTTGAAATCTCAATAAATTTAAATTATGAGTTAAATTATAAATTGAACTTTAAATATGATATTTTGAAATATACCAAATAATACCATAAAAATTTAAATAATGTTTATCTACAATCACTTTACTGATACGTTAATAAAAATTTATTACACTAACCATCTAAAGACTGCGTGAATCTCATAGAATGTCAATCAAAGATTTAAAGCGCTAATGCAGAAAAAAATAAAAGAACTAACCGTGTGAAACATTAATCAATGCAATATGGGTCTCAATTGCCCGTTCTTATCGTAACGATATCTCGTTCCTTCTTTCTCGATCTCGACATTTTTTTCCGGCACGGTGATGATGTTCCTTTTGACTCTTTTGCTTCTGTCTTCGGTGACAACCGGCGTCTCTACCAAAATGGCGTCGACCTCTTGCGTCTTATCGGGCGCGATTTCTTCCACTTTTTCACTGTCAGGAGCCGGCGTTCTTTCAGCCATTGTAGCGATTCTTCGATTGTCAGGATTCTAAACGATTTTCGATAATCCTATTTTTCCCTCTAATCTGCCGTCAAATCTTTGAAGGATCCCTGTCTTTGGCTCTTCTGGAATTCGGCCGTTGCTTCTGAATATTAAATAATAATTTTGAATTTTAAATAACATTTTTAAATATGAGAAATAGAGAAAGAGAGAGAGAGAGAGAGACCGGGAATATTTGTTATTTTATTTTAAATAATATTTTGTATTATAAAATGTATTATAAAATCCTAGAAACTTGAATAACATTTAAACATTTAAATAAGGCTTTTTAATTAATTATTTTAAGATTTTAAATCATATATTCTTTAATTTCGAATCATATTTTTAAATATTAGCTCTTGTGTCAACACCTGGATCCATTTCTCAGGTATTCATTTCGAAAAGGTACTTTTCATTCAAACATTGCTAATCGAATTCTCATTATTTGGATAATTTCACATAAATACATCAATTTACTTTAAAATATTCGAAAAGAAATTTTAAGTTTGTGAGCATTAAACTTGACTATACGTTTGTCCAATGCTCGGCTTACTACATGCATTTTCTACGTAGAAAGATGGAAAAGAGAGATTTATAGTTCAGTATATTTAGGTATTCAAAGGAACAACTTACTTGTATAACTTACTTGTACTAGAAACAAGGAAAATGCTGTATTTTAAAAAAGTTTCAAAAGTTTAAAAAAAAACTCATAAATCACTGGAGAACGATATTTCATCTTCTAGTAGATTCCTAACATACTTTTCTGCGCTCAAATTAAAGATAAGAACAATAAAAATATACACACGCGATTTTTCTATTACACAATGTAAACAGTTTTTCGTACGCATTTAGTATTAATTAATTTAATTATATTTAATCTAATCGTTCTTTGTTGTACTCGCGTACAACATTGACTCTTTCATTTTTCTACCGAGATAATATTTGATACGTCGCAAGAAGTCATGAAACTTTTATAATAAAAATACAAGAATGGGTGTAACATTGACAAAAATATGGTGAATATAACAGACTGCTCAAAAGACGCTTCAGGATTGATTCGCGAAGTCCTAAACCAGTTTATACCTGTTGGAAAAGGAGTGGGGGAATCTCTAAACGTCGATCTCTAAACAGGCTGTTGCTCGAATATCTGGAGATAGTTTTAAAGGATACCGCTATACTATGTTATGTTGAAATTGACGAGGTAGACACAATAATTCTTTTACCTCTGCGGGGACTTAGAAAAGAATTAATTCCTTTTAATCTTGATAAAATTTATTTTATGTATTTCTTGTATCAGTTCTTATACACAATTGATCAATAGACGTTTAACACTCTACTAACGTTTAACGCACTACTAACAGACTAACTGACCAACTGACTTGTGATCGCTTCTTGTATCTTCCGTTCTGTTTTTTTTTTTATATCCACTAGGTAGTTCCTATGGAGAGTTACCTTTATAGCCGCTTTATCAGCATTCTCCAAGAATCAATCGAATTTCTTAGAAGTGTCGACCGTCAGGTGGACCGTGATTAAAATTATATCTTACTATAATCGCTAAATGATCTCATCATTATAAATCTTATTTCGTCATTTTCGTCGACGTCTTTCTGAAGATGTTACGTAACATTATTGAGATATTTTTTCTCTTATTCACTTGTGTTATTTAACTCTTCCCGGGAAAAAATGATTCATATATAATTATATTTAATTATACAAAATTAAATAAAATTACGTATATAATTATATGTGTATAAAATTAACATAATTTATATACAATTATATGTAATTATATATAAAATATGTTATATATATTATATAACATTTTTTCGGGTTATAACAACCTGTAGCATGTGAAATTCCATGATAGGTACTCGGATATAACATAAGTGTTGACGTAACGTAAACAAACGTTGACAAAATTTTTGAAGTTAGTTGATATAAAGACTAAATAAATAACTTTTATAATTTTTGCAAAATGTAAGTAGAATTTGAAAAATCTTCAGTTACACTTAAAATAACTTTGTTCAACTTTTCAGACTATTTTGATATTTCTCTACGGAGCTTTAAGAGGAGAAAATGGCATACTTTGAACCAAACTGCGAACAATATCCCAGAGAATGAATGCTATTAAACTATCATTCATGCTTTTATAGCAACGATTCATTCTTTTATCGTTTATTAGAATGACTTCGAAATGTTTCCTACATTATCGGTTCGATTATTCCCTATTGCTGCATCGTAAAACTCAATATTTATCGTCTTACGTCTTATCGATATTTTAAATTTCTCTCTATTTTTAAACATATTATTATATATCTAAACCATGTGAAATATTTAATCAATAAAGTTACATTTTTTTTTGCGAAAGACACATTTGTGGAGATTGATTAAATGTTCTGTTTCAATTCCTTTTCAACGCTATCATTATTATTCTATTTCTCGAGGAAGCAGTATCGCACATTTTTAACGAACACATAACATATATATAAAACGTATGTGAATATATAAAAGCAATTGCATGTTTTTACATTTCCTACGTGATATGATGTAAAAAGCTTAAATGAGAAAATTAATTCTTTTACTTACCAAAAATCGATTAGTAGATATTGCTCTTCAAAGGTCCTTGTCGATATCCACGATATTACAACATATGTATTTATCTGGATATGTGTTATTTTTCGCCACAATTTACTACGTTTCTCACGGCACAATTTATCG